GAAAACTGCTGAAGTCTCCACACCACTGCCTCAGCCTGAACTCATCATCTCTGCCTCGTCCCAAGCAAGCTCCTCCTTCAGACTTCTAGTCTTGTTCTATGATTCTGCTGGTCTCCCAGGTACTGCCAACCTGGCCATCATCCTGTCCTTTTCCTACCAAAGGTAACTTGCCCTTGGTCAGTTACCAGAGCAGGTAGGCTTTCCTCCATAACGTCTTAGTCATTTGTGCCCCTCCCTCAGTCCCACAGTCTGGGACTGTCACAAGCTGCTAACAAGCTTCTGTGCTAAATGTTGTGGCCTCTCTCCCAAGTGTGGGGACACCCCAGCCTCGTCTCCAAACCCCCTTCACCCACCCCTCCATTCACCACCAAACAGCTGCTCCTTGGCCACCCCTTAGACCGAGGGATCCAACCTTGGATGGGCAACCAGAGGAAGAGGCCCAGGCAGGCCCTTGAAGCAGGCTCAGGGCTATTTGGGTGAAAAATCCCAGGGTTCCATGACATAGAGCTGTGGCTACAAGGGGTTGCTCAGGGTCCAGATGGGTATGTGTGCCCCCCTGTGGGGAGTGGAGCAGCTGGAAGAGCAGGCCGTGTAAAGGCCAGGCCCAGGCCGCGTGCCCCCCTGCACTGTAGGGGCTGAGGGCAGCTCTGCTTTCCCAGCCACACCGGCTGTCCCCACTCAGCTCCTGTCTTGGGCTCCTCTTCTTTCCCTCAGCTGCTTGTCCCTCAAATGCTTGTTCCCCTCATGGTTCTGACCTTTTGCACCAGAAGTTCTTGATTTGGAGGAGTGTCTGTACAAGAGCTTCGGGAAAATATATAAATCCCTTGAAAGGGTATACAAAATCTTGAGTGTATTTGTATGACTGTGCATTTCTCTGAGAGAAAAAACAAGTCATTTTAGTTATATTCTCAAAGGGGTCTGTGATGACATCCCCACCCTCAGAAAAGGTTAAGAATCACTGAACTGTAGACTGTTTTAGATTTCACTTTATGTGTATGTTGCTCTCAAAGCTGTTTGTTGTGGGCCTCTGTTTGTATTCTAACGAAAGTACAGATCTCTCCCTAGAACCCAGATCTGGAGATCAGGTTAGCTCCTGGGCCTTTCTTAAGCAGTATCTTTCATACTTCTCATTCTGAAATCGAAAACTAAATCTGGGCTGGTTGGTTAGGTCACTTGGGAGAGCATGGTGCTGGTAACATCAAGGTCAAGAGTTCAGACTCCATACTGGCCAGCTGCAAAAAACAAAAACAAAAAACACCCTAAATCTATCTTCTGTCCTAAACCTGTTCTGTTCTTCCTGTGTTCCCTACTTCAGTGCATTAGTGCATTGCCTCAAACACCACCCATTGCGTGAGTCAGAAATCTGTCATCCTACACCTGTCTCCCCCACCCCCTCCTTCCCTCCTTCTTTCTCCCTAATATCCCCACATTCAATGGGTCTTGAATCTACTCTTCTGACTCTTTCTCAAAATCATCACTATACTAATTCCAATAAGAATTGCTTGATTCCTCACTCAAGGAAGGTTTGAGGGCTTAGATTGGTACCGCTTCCTAGTCCTTGCATAGAATTTGATGCAAAGAGGACCCCGAAAGTCAAAGGAAAGGAAAGAACTTCAGAATACTAATCAAAACTGGGCAAGGAATTTCTGCATGTTGGCTAAGAGTAAATCTATGATGAACCTTCTATAACTGGCTGTAGTGATGCACTCAAATACATTTCTTTAATTTGATCACTATAGTTCTTCCATTACTGTGAATTTTTCAACACTAGCAGTTCTCAAAAGTGGTATTCCTGTTCCTAGATCAATATAGTAGCCTCAAATCATAGGGCTGAGCTCATAAATGGAGCATGAATACTCCAATAGGACACAGGAAATAATGAATGTGGATGGCATGAGGACCGTTTATTCTCCGGTTATCCTAAATCTGATTTTTACTGTTCTGAAAATGAAGGTAGACAGAGTGGATAAAGACACCATCTTCTATGAAATGCACTATTGGTGGGGAGATGCAGTGCCTGAATAGTCTCTGTGAGGGACAAAAAGACTTTAAATGGTCATTCGGTCCATCAAAAACTCTTCTTGAATTTTCTGAAATTATGTAGAAGCTAAATATGATTCTACATTTAGAAACTGTTTTCTTAGTATTATGTGCAAACACTATTTTGGAATGTAATTACAAAAAGAGGTCTGAATTTTACAGAAAAATATTCTGTTTAAAATATGGTCTCCTGAAAAGTTATTCTTAGCTCTGGCATCAATCACAGTTCTCAGAATTTACGGACTGTGAATTATTCTGGCAACTGCGATATCATCTAGCCTTTCCCTCATTTTCCAAGTGATGAAGCAGAAACCCAAAGAGATAAGTTATTTCCCCAAGGTCAGACAGTAAAAGAGAACCGGATTTGCTTATTTTTGAGTCCAATCATCTCAACTGGACACAAGGCTGGCCAAGCTAAGTGGAGTAATCAATCAAGCAGCTTGTTCAGACTTCTGTAGGATCCCTTCGACCACAGCAAATCTGTGGGGGCCGCAGTAGCGTTCGCAATGTGGTGCGCAGGTTAAGTGTAAATTTCCAGGTTTCTCTGCGTCAATCAATGACGTTATCCTGCACTTCATGGAATGAGAAGATGAGGTGCAGAAGGATTAGATCACACAGTCCTGCAAAGTGAATTCAAGGAATTGAGTTCGGACCGCGAGTAAAAGTACTGTACGGGAAGACTCACATTTCCGGGCGTTGGGCGGCGCCAGACACTCTACTTTTCCTAAAGGAGGCAGCGGCTTCACTGACCGGAAGTTCCCCTGCCCCCATCAAAGATGGCGCCGGATGACTTAAGCCAATCAGAACGCTTGTGCGGGGGCCGTGTTTCGCTCTCCCTCCTGGTCGTCTCCGCTGAGAGCTCTGACATAGCCAATCAGTGCAGCCCCACAGGGGCGTGCGTCTGACGTCAGAGAAAAGGGGTGGAGTCCAGTTGGAATTTTGGCGGGTTCGGCGGTAGACGGGGAAGAGGTGCTGGCGCCGGATAAGAAGCGCGGTTTCTGGGCGCGCGGGTGACTCTCAGGCAGCGGGGACCGTCTCGCGCGTCTGTGTGGAGGTGTGGAAAAGGCCGAGGGCGAGAGATGCGGAGGCTCGAGTGAGAGAGACCCGGGATCGCGGGGCCGGCGCGGAGCTATGGGGAAGGCGCGGGGGCTGGGGATTGCGGGGCCATCTACTTAAGGGGCCAGTTTTTTGTTTTTTTTTTAAAGTGACCTTTTCAAATGCTTGCCAAGCGCATGCCGTCTGGACTTTAATTCATTCATTCATTTTATTGATCACTAGCTAGTAACTATCGAATGCGCCCCATGCGTAGGGCTCCAAATACGTTGTCTCTGCCCCCACGCGGCTTACAGTCCAAAGGGGTAACAGATAAGCAAGTACACGAGACTGGACGATGTGCACTAAAGTACGGACAGGGTGGGGTGGGAGGATGCGGAAGGGGGACTACTCAGATAGGGTGGTCTGGAGAGGCTTAGAAAAATGGATACAGCAGAGCTGAAGGATGAGTAGCAGCTGGGGGAGAGCTTTCAGACAGAGCCTCAGGCCTGAAAGCAGCTCGCATGTTCAGGCTGGCGAAAGCAGCTTGTCTGGCCGGAGCATAGTTTGGAGGTGGGTAGAGTTGGGTGGGGCAGACACGTAGAAACGAGGAGGTAGAAGCAGGCAAGAGAGAGTATCCATTGCCTCGCAGGCTTTGTAAATTTTGTCCTAAGGGCAATGGAGAATCATTAAAGAATTTCTGTTAAGGGAATACTACAATCTGGTTTATGTTCCTAAAAGATTACTAAGGAGGGGCCGGCCCCGTGACTCACTTGGGAGAGTGTGGTGCTGACACCAAGGCCATGGGTTCGGATCCCTATACAGGGATGGCCGGTTAGCTCACTTGAGAGAGCGTGGTGCTGACAACACCAAGTCAAGGGTTAAGATCCCCTTACCAGTCATCTTTTAAAAAGAAAAAATTACTAAGGAAAGGAAAGATTACTGTGCCCATTGTGTGGAGAATAGATTGCAGGGGGAACAAAGAGACGGATACAGCAAACTAAAAAGATTGATGGTGGCTTGGACTGGGCTTTTGACAATGAAGTTGGAGAGAAATGGACGACTTGAGCAATGTTTTAATGATAGAACCTATAGTATTTGTAGGATGGCCCTGAATGTGAGGATGAGGAAGAGTGTGCAGGTTTGTCTTGGGGTTCAGGAGAGCTGGTCATAGAAAAGAACAAGGCAGTTTGCTCTTAACCATCAAGAAGCTTATAATCCAGCACATTCCCCAGTAGATAACACAGTGTGGGGCATATGATGGAGTCCATGGAAATGTTTGCTGACTAACTAAAAAGAAAGTATAAGTAATACCTTGACATTGGGCTTGCCAAAATCAAGTAGATTATAAAACACATGTAAGTTAAATAATAGCCTAGAAAATTTTACACTTTTTTACCTGGAGTTTTTAAAGTCATTTTAAATGAAGAAAGGAAAGTGCACAGAATGATACGACTTCTTAATTAGCTACACTAATTACTCTGTTTTGCTAGCCAGTATTGAATCAAAATCCTGATGTGACTAAGTCTGGAAGTAAGTAGAATCACACACTAAGCTGCTGTGGATAATGGACACGTCAGGTGTATTAAAAGTAAGGTGGATAATAGGTCGAATATTTAGACGACTCAGTAATTCCTTTTCACAATTTGTCTCATCTGTGTAAACTGGTATCATACAAACTATTCTGCACCTCACCTGAGTTTACATAACCATAGTTTGAAGACAAGTAAAAGAGGACTGCTTACGAACTAGGAGGGAGATGGTGTTGGCAGTTGGGGGAGAGGAGGTGAGAAATGGTCAGATTCTGGATGAATTTTGAGGTTAGAGCCCATAGGATTTGTGGGATTCTAGATTTGTTGGATATGTATCATGAGAGAAAGAAAAGAATCAAGGGTGACTTTTCTGATATTGATTTCACACAGCTAAGATTCTCCATTACTTATCTCCTGGCATTACTCATCCTGGGCACCTGATCCTCCTTCCAAGTTTCCTGACACAGCTGTTCTCTTGACAGCATGGATGGTAAGTCCTGGCAGTTTTCTCAATTTCTCTGTTTCAAGGAAAACCACCTTTTTATCCACGGACTTGTTATTTATTCTACTTGCTAAATACTTGTGAAAATAGCTCTCCACTCTCAGGTATTATCCAGTAGTTCAAAAGAGATCTCACTGCAGTCAATGAATGTTATTTGTTATAATCAGGTGAGATTACTCCTCCCAACAGCAGGGATTGTCTTTCATAATGATACTAGCTGGCAGGTGCTTACAGTGTGCCAAACGCTGCTCTAAGATTCTTATGTATATTAACCTGATTTAATCTTCACAGCAACCATACTTTATAGACAGGAAAGTGTAATAATTTATCACAGGTCGAGCTGTCATAGCAGGGATTTGAACCAGGTAGTCTGAGTTCAGAGTTCACGTTTGATATTGAAATCTGTTCAAGTGGTTTTAGTCAAGCTCAAACTTAAATTCTTATAATCTTTTCTAATTTTGTTCATTTTAGAGGGGTGGATGTACAAAATATTTACTTAGTTAAAGAGACGTTGCTCTAATTAGCAGAGCTTAGACTGGAGCAGCACATAAATGACTGTGCTGGCTGTGAAGAGACCCTGACCAATAAAATGCATTATGTTTGTGGTTGCATAATTGAGCTCATTGTCTGAAACTGGATTGAAAATTTAAAAATTCAAGTTTATTACGCTTTGCCTTTTGGAAAAAAAGAAAGTAAAAACAAATGTTGAAATTCATCACATTGTGATATACATGAAATTTGTTGCCCTGTGGTGTAATGATAGTTTCCTGTTTCCTGAAACCACCAAATTGCCTACAGGGCACTTTGTGTAATACAAAGTATAACTTTTTGCTATAAGATGGAGGTGGAAAAAAGACAAAAACAGGATGTGTGTTCTGTAAGAAATCAGTGTCTAGGAAGATCTCGTTTGGTTGACATGGCTTCACAATTTGGCCAGTATAGAGGAAATCAAAAAGTCTATTGGTATTAGGGATACACTGTTGAAAAATGTTCCTGCTTACATTTTTGTAGAGGGAGCAAAATAATAACAAATTAAAAAGTGAGAAAAATCAGGTAGTTGGTAAGATGGGAGACACTAGAATAACTTTGCATGCTGATAGGAATGCTTCAGAAGATAGGGAAAAATTGGTGATGTGGGAGACAGAGAAGTGGTAATTGTGGAATGAGGTCCTTGAGAAGCTGAGAGGAATGGGATCCAGTGTATAAATGGGGGGATTGGCTATAAACAGGACTAGACATCTCATTCATTGTCATAAGAGGGAAATGTTCAGATTTGGGAGTGAAAGATGGGGATTGCTTCTGTCTTTTTCTGTAAAACATAAGGCAAGATCATCAGCTAAGAGTAAAGAGGGATGCGAGGACATAGGAGGTTTGAGGAGAGACAGTATGAAGTAGTTAGAGAATGGAAAAACAAATACATTGGGAAGGGTGGTGGGTTTTGAAGCAGAGTCGAATGCCTATTTGTCACTGGTGTGCATAAATTTAAAGTTAGACCAATCAGCATGGTAGCATGTCTTTTTCTAGTAACATTCACCAGGTGGCAGTTTGTTGGATTTAATCAGGGTTAAGATTTTTTCAAGGAACATGGGGGTGTGGGAGAGAAGCAGGGGAGTTAAGAGTCTTTAGAAGGCAGCGATTATGGTGATGGACATGGATCCAAAGGGAGGACTGAGAACATTGTAGGAAGCTCAGTGGACTGGACATCTTAATATAAAGTTGAACAAGTGCCGGGTGAGATACTAGAGTGAGTGGGCTGGAAGGATAGGAGGTGGGGATCATGGTGAGCACTTGACATCAAGATCTCAGGTCGATTGTGCCTTTGCTATGATGACAAGGAATGACTTTGGGAGTGGGTGGCTAAGATGGGGTGGAGGACAAGATCTCTGAAGGTGGAGAGATCAAGAAGCTGAGAGACCAAGACATTGGCTGGATCATCCTTTTGGATGTTGAAGTTCCCAAGAATGGTGACAGCAGTAGAGATGGAGAGGAAGACCACAGAGATCAGTAGGTGACAGTAACCATGAGAAGTTCTTGATGACAGAATCTGGTGTCGTGAACTTCAGAGGAGCTGTGGTCTTGCAGAAGGATGGATGATTCCAAAGTGATAGTGATAAGCAGAGAGATATCAGGACCCTGCAATTGATCAACAAATATTTATCGAATGCCTAATATGTGCCAAACACTATTCTAGACTTTGTGGTGTACGCTGTGAATGATTAAACAACTCCCACTCAAGAGGGTTGTAGGGACAGCAGATTTCTGTTATAAGAGCCACTGAGGATAATAGGGAATCTTGCTGGTAGTAGATTCTGGGTTCCAGGGAGTGAATCCCAGGGGTTTGGGAACAAGGGGCAGGAAGATTGAGTCTGCATAATATGGGGAAGACAGATGATTTTGGGTGGTGACCAAGGTAAACAGGGATGCAAGGCTTCATGGGATTAACCCTGGCACTCTTGTGAAAGAAGGGGTTTCAAGGTGAAGTGTATGGGCTGCGAGGCAACATTTTCCACCTGTGGCTCCCAATGGTGTGGCCAAGGCCTCTTCCAGGGGTGTGCTGTCTTTGGCAGCTGGGAACAAGAGATGGTGCAGATCCCTTTGCTTCCTTGCAGGGGTGTGGCAGTCTGACCTAGAGCACAGGGAGCTGGGATTGCCTCTCCTGTCTTCCTGCGCACTGCAGTCTTGGAGTCTTTGTTGACTTAGTGATTCAAACTAATTATTACACAACATCTGACTAAGTGTTAGGCCCCGTCAGCAGATTCCAGGACTTACGTTTGACTGCTCGTTGTTTTCCTTCTGTGAGGGAATGTAGAGCGGTGGAAAGGACATTGGTTTGCTGATCTAGAGACCTTACTGACCTAGCCTCCTGCACAGGTCTGAACAAACCCTTACCCTCTCGGGCTCCAGCTCTTATCTTTCAAATGAGGGGAGTGGGTTAGATACTCTTAACATTTTTTTTTTCCTTTTTGTCTTTTTTCGTGACCGGTAACGGGATCGCAACCCTCGGTGTCGCGACCGCACTGTGCTCAACCAGTGAGCGGACCGGTCTCTATATGGGATCCGAACCCTCAGTGGGAGCGCCACCGCACTCCCAAGCGCCACACTCTACCAAGTGCGCCACCTTTTTTTTATTTTTTAAAGATGACTGGTAAGGGGATCTTAACCCTTGACTTGGTGTTGTCAGCACCACGCTCTCCCAAGTGAGCTAACCAGCCATCCCGATATAGGGATCTGAACCCATGGCCTTGGTGTTATCAGCACCACACTCTTCCAAGTGAGCCACGGGCCAGCCCCAAATTCTTTGTACATTTCTATATTTAAAAAGAAATTCTCAAACTGTTAAAAAGCAAGAGAATATATACATCTGAGGCCTATATCTGTGTTTAGGGTGTTTTTCAATTATTCCATCATTGGTTGAATTTCATGGAAGTTGGTATGCAGGAAGCTGTCTCAATAGCTGAAGTAGCAAGGGCGAAAAGATCTAGCCAGTGCCTGGCCCACTCTAGTCACTTAGCAGATATTGACCCCTTCTTCCTTAGCCCAGGGCCCTCTAAGCAGCACCTGGGGACAGGAAATAGAGAGATGGAACAACAAATACACCGGGTAAAATGGTGAGTCTGTATAATCATTTTAAGTGCCCTGTTAATGTTGAATGTTCAAATTAACTGTGCTTGTCCTTAGCAGTTTTTCTCAGGTAGGCTTAGTTTTTGTCCTTTGTCCTCTTTTCCCCCAGGGGAGGAAGATGATTTGTCTCTGCTGACCGCACTGCTGGAGGAGAACGAGTCAGCCTTGGACTGTAATTCAGAAGAGAGTCACTCCTTGATCCCAGAAGGTGGCGAGCCAGATGCATTTGATGAGCTTTTTGATGCTGATGGGGACGGTGAATCTTACACAGAGGAGGCTGATGATGAAGAAGTGGGAAAGACAGAAGACCAAAAGGAAAATTTGGATGCTCTCTTTGGAGATATGGGTGACTTAACAGATGAAGAAGTTCCTACATTTCAGTCAGCCGGAAATAGGACCCCTGCCCCCAGTCAAGCAAAAACAAATCAAGAGTTGCAAGGTGCCCTAACTACTTGCCTTCTCTAATTTCATTATGATAAACTAGATGAAGACCACCAGTGTGGCAGTTTTCATCAAAATAGTTGCTGATTCAAGGGTGGAGATAAATGACTTTGTTAAAAAAAAAAAAAAAGTTGTATGAGTTGGTAGATGAAATATTTAAAGCTGGCATTTCAGCATTCACAGGCCTCTTTACCTTAGCCAGCCAGCTATAACTGATCCTTCACAAAATGGTGCTAATACTTTTCATGCTTCTTACAGAGTAATATTACTTTGGGATTTATGTGCATGTGGAGCCAGGGTCAAGGCTACAAAGTTACCATACAGTCTCCTTGAGCAGGACCGAAGCTTTGACACATGCTCTTTTCTTGTGCCTGGCATCTTCTGTTATGTATTTTTAAGTTATAATAAAATTCAGTAGTTGACAGTATCTTCTAATATAGGAGCCAGCATTTCTTATTATTTTATTATTTATTTTATTTAGTATTATTCTATTAGAGTTATTTCCATTTATTAGATAAATATAATCATTTCTTGACCCCTAAAAACTTGTTAGCTGTGCACATGTATCTGTGTTATCTGTGAGTAGTACAAACTTATAACTAGCTTTGATATTAGAGGCTTGATCACTGGAAATAAAATATTTCTCTAAGGGACCTATTTTTTTTTTTTTTTTTTTTTTTTTTTTTTTTGTGACCGGTAAGGGGATCGCAACCCTTGG